GAGAGAGAGAGAGAGAGAGAGAGAGAGAGAGAGAGAGAGAGAGAGAGAGAGAGAGAGAGAAGAGAGATGATAACTCGCAGGTGGCGCAACGTGTASTCCCACTTCCGAAAGAAAAAACGTAACACACCAAGGAGTGGGATCGGCGAATTCCCGACTAGTTTCGGCCACTACGYCGCTATGGCCATCATCAGGGGAAGTTGCGCCTGCGAGCCTACTCTAGAAGAAGTCTTAAATAGTGTCGTATCTCTCATCATTTCGAAGTTACTGCCTAGGCTCGAAGAGCTCAATGCCAAGCCGCTACCGTAGCGATCCTGTGYTGTACCATTCTCGTGGGAAACAGGAGGCGGSAAAGCAGGTGGAGGCAGCCAGGTTCAGGAATGGGCGGGAACTAGTGCAGTTCGTGGGAAACAGGAGGCGGGAAAGCAGGTGGAGGCAGGCAGGTTCAGGGATGGGCAGGAACTAGTGCAGTTCATGACGAAAGAGGCAGGGGGAAGTACGGGGTTGAGGAGATCTGTTTGTGATTGAGAAGATCTGTCTGAAGAGGTGAGAAGTAGAAACGTTGAAAGGGAACCGCAGACACAGGAGATTTCGGGATAGGCGGGGGTGTCGGACAGGTATTTGAGTTGCGCACACTTAGCGCGGGATATTTGGAGAGGTTCACACGTCGATAGCTCCGCCAGCCAAGACTTGAAAAGGACAAGATGCCGAGGAGGAGATCTGCAGACGGGCGATATCCGACTACCCAGAATTTGTCCGCTACGTCAGTTGTCGGTAGTGCCTGAACCCTTCGTGAAAAATCTTGACCCAGCAGTCCCAGCACCCTTCGTTGGCCGCTGAGAAATCTTCCAGAGCTTTCTGAAACATCCATCTTGGAAAACGTTTTAACCTGAGTTCCCTTCTCAGGGGTGTGGCCTAGACAGCGCGGCCGTAGCATAAGCAGGCGCAAAAAAAACAAAACAAAACAAAACAAAACAAAACAAAACAAAAACAAAAAAAAAACAAAAAAACAAACAAACAAAAAAAAAACACGACCGTGACCTCCCGTTTTTGCCAATTATCGAACCGGTAGGCCGTCGAACGCACAGTTTACTGTTTTTCTTGCAGTTACGAACTGGTCTTCGCCCAAGCTTGCAGTGGACTGTTATTCCTGCAAATTTGAAACTGTGCACAGTCACCCGCGCAGTTATTTCATATTTTTTTTTGTGTGTGTGTGTCTCCTTGGAACATGGATAATACTGATGGATTGGCCAGTGCCAAAACATGCCAGCTTTCTGTGGTCGATCATGATGCACCAAGCACTTCCATTGGCTGCTTGGTATGCACACAGAACCACGAAAGCCACAGACCAGAATGCGAGCTGTGCCATGTGAGTTTTGCTGATTGTCCCCACCGACACATTTGTCATTTGGTCGGACACTAGGCGGTGTTCCCAGCTCATATCTTGGGCGGCCAGTCGGACACTTCAGTCATACACACCGGGCGGCCAATCGGACACTTCGCACCTGCACATTACTGCGTAAGTACCCCAAGATGATGAGGTACCAAACGACTCCGTCTATATGAGCTCTTGGGTGTTGTCCACCTGTCATCCTCGGCGTCCCTTTGATCTGTTGAGCGAGAGGCTTTTCCCCCACTTGTATGCCCCCACAGCACTATGGCCAACTTCGTCTCCGTTCGCCTTGTATGTGCCCTGGAATACCGCCACGGAATAAGATATACAGCTTTTCACGTCCTTTGACGGCAACCTCCACATACCTTCCTGTGACTGGTGTGCGCAATGCCATGCCAGTTATGCCGGGCCCCCCACATTTCGCTTTAGACTGGGTGCCACCTCTGCTCAGGCTCTGCAGAAATTTATGGGACTGGTGGTTCAATGCCACCGTTCTGGTACCTGCATCGGCTGACTGCTGGACTGTTACATGCTGCGCCTGCACACGGGCCCATTTTAAGGGGCCCGACGGTTGCTAAGGGGTCCCCAGGCCGCATGCCATCAGACATGCGCCCTGGAGGCCCACGGCGGGCCCCAGGCCGCAGATTCCAAATAAGAGGCGGCAGTATTTATTTATTTATTTATTTATTTATTTACTTACCTGTTGTCTTGTCCCTTGTCTGTGCAGACGTCGTTTCGGACTTGCAGACCCCAAGGCAACACCTTGGGCCAGGTACAGAGACACGAGGCCCTTCTGAAACCAGGCGCGTTTTGGCGCCTGACTCAACGGCACCAATACCGTTTCGGACCGCAGGCACCAAGGCAGCGCCTTGGGCCAGGTATACAGGAACGGGGCCTGATCCAGGCCTGGCGCTTTTTTGCGCCTGCTGCATCAGCAGCATGGTCTGGACGTCCGGTAGGGACCCAGACCAGCTGGGCCGTTTCTGAGGTCGGCCACCAGGTAGGCCCAGCCCGCCCAGCGCTAGATGTAGCTGGGCAGCGGCTGGGCAAGGGACAGTTCGGGTAGCTCACTTCTCGAGCGACACGCTGCTGGACCAGCGCTGCGCTGCGGACTAGCGTAGGGGAGTAGGTAGGAGAGGGCGGAGGCCATACCTGCGGACGGCGGACTTACCTGGCGCCATAGCTGGGACTCCGCTCGCGACCTGCACAGGACAGCAACCACGTGACGGCGGCCCTCCTGCAGGTGAGACAGTAGGGAAGACGATCTCTTCGTCTCCCCTTCCATCTCTCTCTCTCTCCTTTCTCTTCTTCTTCTTCTTCTTCTTCTTCTTCTTCTTCTTCTTCTTCTTCTTCTTCTTCTTCTTCGTCTCCTTCTTCTTCAGATACGAGGGTGAGAGAGGAGACAGGCAAGAGGATACAGGCAGAGGTTACAGTGGGCATTGCCCCAGAATCTGATTGGACATTTCTGAGGCAGACCTTGATTGGACATCGGCAAGGGACTATTTTTGGACTTTGCTATTGCGATCTGGGTCTTCCCCCTTCGCCTCCAGCTTTGTCTCTCCTCTTCCCCCCATTTCTCATCTGTGGCACCTCCTCATGTGAGTGTATAAGGAGGAACCTTTCAAGAGGATACAGGCAGAGGTTACAGTGGGCATTGCCCCAGGATCTGATTGGACATGTCTGAGGCAGACCTTGGTTGGACATCGGCAATGGACTATTTTTGGACTTTGCTATTGCGTTCTGGGTTTTCCCCCTTCGCCTCCAGCTTCGTCTCTCCTCTTCCCCCCATCTCTCATCTGTGGCACCTCCTCATGTGAGTGTATAAGGAGGAACCTTTCTTCTTTGTGTGCAGTCCCTCCTCCTCCTCCTCTCACATGTGTGATGTATGGTGGGATGTCGTGTCAGTACCGGTCAGGTCAGGACTTATCTGAAAGTCTTCCGTTGTGCTACTATGTGCCATTTCGTATGTATCAGGGTGTACATTGTTTGTTGATGCTCAACTGACATTGCATTGCCCATTCAGTCCTTTTCATCACATTGTGGATCCTTGGCTCTACGTACATTGCCCACCTGGGCATGTATCATGGACAGACCAGAGTTCGTACACCACCTGGGACCGGTGGTGTGAAGGACGCCGCTATTAACTTTTGAACCGAAACTACCTCTGAAACTACCTTGGGTTACTGTCTGCCCTTTTTTTTTTTTTTTTCCTAAAACAGCGGCTCCTTCTATTGGTGAGGAGCGTCACCTGCTGGAAAACGAGTCCAGCGTCCCTTGTTTTCAGAATGATTCCGGAATATATAGGAAAGTCTCTGGAAAGTTACTAAGGAACGCCTGCCAGCGTCTGCCCTATTATGTCTTTCGGCATATAGCCTGCCAAGAAGAAGTCCCTCTTCCCCAACAAAACAGCTGTTCGCAACACACCAATGAATGGACTGATGTCAATTTCAATTTTTTGGTCCATTGATTGGTGTGTTGCAAACAGTTGTTTTGTTTGGGAATACCCTTTAAAATCAATGGACTGATGTCAGTGGAGCAAAAATTTTTGGTCCATCTACCAGAGCATCGATTGGTCCGGCCAAAAAGTCAAAAGAAGAGGATAAAAAAAAAAAAAAAAAGGATATCCGCTAAAAGGTATTGGAAAGATACAGAGAAGAGAAGATTAGCATGGCCCCTGCACAAGGATGACACGCATAAATTGAGAAATGGTCCACATTAAATAAAAAAAAAATAAAAAATAAATAAAAAAGGATACAGTATTAGACCTGACAAAAAAAAGAAAGAAGAGAAAGGAAAAAGAGTTTAAAAGATGCATTATTACAATCCTTAACCAACACGCTGAACTTCGTCAATCTACCTCACCCAATTCAAGGCACGTACTGGGTACACAGTACTAG